GCCACAGAACCCACTCGTCAGAACCCATTCATCGGGCCACAGATTTGACCAATCAAAATTGTTTAATCAAAGTCCACTTTCGCTGCTCGCGTCGCTGTCACTGTTAAAAGCCATAGTTATAAGAATAATGGATGTTCTAAAGTCAGTTTAAGATTGGGGATCCAACTAGAAATAACTTTACCAATAAAAACTCCTTTCTATAATTAAATAAAAATCTTTTTTTTTGTTTTGTTGAAAAAGTCACTCGCTGGACAGAAATTTGCGTTGAATGAGGAGGTCGTCGCCGCCACAGAAGCCTATTTTGCAGACCTCGATAAAACGTATTTTTCAGACTGGTTGAAGCTGGAGCATCGCTGGGTCATGTGTATCGAGCTAAAAGGAGATTATGTTGAGAAATAAATCGCCACTTTTCCAAAATTTTCCTTTTTCTTTTGGAGGCTAAGTACTTATCGGACCACCCTCGTATGTCAAATCCCTATCTCCTATAGTTTCCGAGATCTCAGCGTTCATACGGAGAGACGGACATGGCTAGATCGACTAGTGATCCTGATCAAGAATATAGCCTGTTGTTTCTGCGCCTTCCATTATCGATGGTTCCCTGTCATCATTGTTTACCTTTTCGTAGTGAATGCTTCGACAGATCTAGATCCGAAGCATCTAATTCCGCAACAGCGAGAGGTAGATTCGAAATTTTTTAATTAAAAACGGTAACTTTTTGAGTCAATTTTACGACCTCGCGGTTCAAGTTGTGCAACGGCGGCTGACGTGCAGCTCAGCCATCCAAGAGCTAGCAACGTCATTTGCAATTACACGTATGGAGATGATCCTTTTTCGGAAGCTGACTCCGCAGAGGGCACTCAGCTCATTGCTCGTGAGCTACACAGTGCCTTTCCATTGAGAAAATGGACCTCTAACCACATAGAAATCCTAGCTCATATCCAAAGCGATCATCTTCTGAACGCAGACTTCCTCGAGATGAACACTGAAGGAGCAGCCAAACCTCTCGGAGTACGTTGGAAAGCGATGTCCGATGAATTTTTCTTCGTCCCACCAGACTTAGCAAATAAGATCTCCCCCACGAAACGCAAAGTTCTCTCTTAAATTGCCAAGCTAATTTACCTAGTAGGCTGGCTCGCTCCATTTCTTGTGTGGCAAGATATTTATGCGAGAGATTTTTCTTCTCGATCTAGGTTGGGACGATGAACTTTCAACTGAACTATGGTAAGGGGGCGCAGGTTTCTTTGGAGCTATTCGGTCCAAGATCAGGTCCGAATTCCAAGATGGGCTTCCTTCCGTCCGGAATACCGCGTAAAGCATCACGGATCCTGTGACGCTTCGCAAAAAGCATACGGTGCTGCGATCTATGTGCGCGTAGAGATGGGGCATACGACGGTGGTACACCTACTCACTCATAACTGTGTCAGTTCCTGGGCTAGAACTGTGTGGAGCTTTACTTCCTGCAGCATCAGGTGGAATAACCCCGTTCCCAGTCTGGCTCCCACTTCCTCAAGGTCCAATATGCCTATTGGGATTCGGAGCTGTGCTGCAGATGGCACGGGAAAAATGGAAAAGCTTTCGTGAGACGTGAAGGAAGTGTTAAAGTACTAATTTACATATTTAAAAACATTCTTTGAATATTCCATTTATTTCTTTTAATTTCTTTGCGCACTAGCAACTTTTTCTAATTTAAATTGCTCCAATTAATTCTTTTTCATTTGTCTACAAACACCACATGCATTGCGAATGAACTTTAAAAAATTGGGTCACACTACAAAGAATACGATTTTTCGATTAGTGAAACTCTTAGCCGATCTGAGAACTAGGCCTTACGCAGTTTTCCGAAATTTCGACTACAAAATGTATTCACAACAATAATAACTATGTACGATCCACCGAAATAGTAGGTTTTTGGTATGTTTCTTCTCAAAGTAAAATTAAAAAGACAAGTAGAACCAGTATTCCACCTGGGACAACAATAACAATTGAATATTATACACCACCCACCAAATTAGTTTGCTTTTCTTGGTATTTGGTATTTTTCTATCAGATTACTTAAAAAGGCAAATAATACCAATGCTCCACTGGGGACCCAACTATACAAAACAAGAAAAATACCGAAATATCATTGTTCTTCCACTACACAGTGTTATTGAGATTAATTCCGAAAACTCATTTAAGGTTGGTCCGTGTTCCCATTCATGTTGTTCGTTTTTTGTAGTTTTTCCTGTCGATAACCGATACCTCGTTTCCCTAACAACCTTTTATGTAAACATTCGCCGCGAAGAAATCCTCGCATTATGAAACCGCATCAAGGTAGAGTACGACGAATGTACTGGGTGCATAGTAGCAGCCGGAGAAATTGCAGCTGATAGCTTGCTGATTATTCGAGCTAAAAACAAATATGGCTATTCTGTTTATGAAAGATGTGGTGCTCAGATCGCGGATATGATAGAGCAAGTTCCAACATAGTTGCAAGCTTTCCCCTATCAACTATGGCTTTTGCTCAGCCCTGACTTACCTATTTGAGCGTTTCGAAAACAAGCTATTGTTAGTATATAGACACCTAAAATACTTTTCAATGTGGATCAGCTATAAGTGAACTTTAAAGCGCCATCCAGTGTTGCCTCACGGCACTTGAAATGTTCGGGATACAAAATAAAAATTGTTATTGTCTCTTGGCGTACATGTGCTCTTCCAAACTCCTTAAGCTCACTCTATCCTATCCACTCCCGGCATAACAAAGCCGAGATTCCGACGTGGGAGTAGCTAAACGCATTCCTTACCGAGCGTCACCGTACTCTAGAAGCTACGAAGGTGGTCCGATAAGTACTTAGCCTCCAAAAGAAAAAGGAAAATTTTGGAAAAGTGGCGATTTATTTCTCAACAGAATCTCCTTTTAGCTCGATACTCTTGACCCAGCGATGCTCCAGCTTCTTTAACCCGTCTGAAAAATACGTTTTCTCGAGGTCTGCAAAATAGACCTCTGTGGCGGCGACGGCCTCCTCATTCGACGCAAATTTCTGTCCAGCGAGTGACTTTTTCAAGTTTGGAAACAAAAAGAAGTCACACGGGGCCAAACCTGGAGAATATGGTGTACGGGGTAGCAGTTCGTAGCCCAATTCGATCAATTTGGCCTTTGCGAGGGCGGAAGTGTGAGCTGGTGCATTGTCATTATGGAAGAGCACTTTTTTTTCGCCAAATGGGGCCGTATTTTCTGCAATTCGGCGGCGAATCGGCCCAATAATTTGGCATAGTACAGCCCTGTGACCGATTTGGCCTTCTCCAGGTTGTCGATGTAGATCACACCATGTGAATCCCAAAAAACAGTGGCCATCACCTTTCCGGCCGATGGGACAGTCTTCGCCTTCTTCGGAGCAGGTTCGCCGGGTGAAGTCCACTGTTTCGACTGTTGCTTGGTCTCTGGTGTGTACCAGTTGATCCAAGTTTCGTCGACAGTCAGGAAACGTCGCAGAAACTCCTTCGGATTGCGCTTAAACACTGCTCTGAAGTGGTCTCACGGTTGCGTTTGTTGTCCGGAGTGAGCAAACGCGGCACCCATCGCGCCGACAGCTTTCTCATGCCCAAAATTGCATGCAGGATAAGACCCACGCGGTCTTTTGACATGCCTACTGTCTCAGTTATCTCGCATATCTTCAATCGGCGGTTTGCCAGTACGTGATCGTGAATTTTTGTCACGCTATCCTACGTGGTAGCCATTTTCGGGGCACCTGGGCGTGGCTCATCAAAAACCGACGTGCGAGCACGTAGAAACTAGTTAAACCAATTTTTGACTGTCTCCATCGAAGGAGAAGTCACCGTACACAGCATCCAAGCGCTCTTTGATTTCGCTGCGCGATTTCCCTTCCAAAAACAAGAATCGAATCACAGACCGATATTGCTCTTTCTCCATTTTTCTAAAATCCGCGTCACGTCCGATTCCACACGCAGTCAAAACAAAACTACGAGTTCGATTCTACTGCAATTTCGACAGTAGCCGTATACGAGAATGTACTACACGATAGTAAATTTCTCTTGCGATAGTGACGCCATCGGGCGGTGAGGCTAAGTACTTATCGGACTGCCCTCGTTGCCTCTTATAGTTTCCGAGATCTCAGTGTTTATCCGGACGTACAGACAGAAAGACATGGCTAGATCGACTTGGATAGTGATCCTGATCAAGAATATATATGGGGTCGGAAACGCTTCCTTCTGCCTGTTACATACTTTCCGACGAATCCAGTATACCCTTTTACTCTACGAGTAACGTGTATTACTAGAACTTAACTAAAACATCGACGATTTTCTTTCTTGACAGGAATCTTAGAAATTTGCAAGCCTAATCCCAGTATTGTAGATCTAATAGTTTCCGAGATCTCAGCGTTCTTACGGACAGACGGACATGGCTAGATCGACTCGGCTAGTGATCCTGAGCAAGAATATATTATACTTTATGGGGTCGGAAACGCTTCCTTCTGCCTGTTACATACTATCCGACGAATCTAGTATACCCTTTTACTCTACGAGTAACGGGTATGATAAGTCATATCAGCTTGGTAACTTCTTTAAATTTCAGGTCTTTCAGACAGGTAACAACATCTTCAGGCCCAAACACTAACCAACTAATCGGTTTAGATTTCTAAATATATTTTACGTACTACCTGCTTAAATGCATATTTAAAAAAATGAGCAGCCAGCTTTTTATAGTACCGTAGTTTTGCGTAAGCAATAGTTGTCAAAAGATTGCACAAAAAATTTTAAAATGCTACATTTGAATTTTTAAATTTGGGAAAATCGAAAGAGCAATTTTTTTTTTAAGTAGTTGACAGTTAAAATGTTTTAAAAGTTACCAATGGTGGGCAAATAAAGTCAAAAGATTGAACAAAAAAATGTTTGAGAAAGTCAACTTTTTCGTATTGGATATTTCTGAAACTGGACGTGGTCAAAAAAACTAAACGGTGCCAAAGGGTGTCGAATAGGGTCAAACGATTCCCATTCTCAAATTTGAAAAACCCAGCTTTATTAAACTGGTTGATCCCACTTTTAAGTAAAATCTTCAAGGACTATGGTACGAGGCATATCGCAGTTTGGAATCTAGACCGAATGTTAATTTAATTTAATTGAAAACTTTTAAACTTATCATAGTTGTAAAACCCCGCTCGTACTTGACGTCCTCCAAAAAAACGGCCATTCAGGTCCACCACAGCTGCAAAGTAAAGAAATAGATAATTTGTACACAAAATAAATGCAAGTATAACCTTTAATAGCGCTTTCGATGCGCCTAAATTCGACGAATATCTTTATGGCATCTTCTGGCACAGTTCGAAACATTTCGTGAATAATGACGCTGCTGACCTCCCCGTATTTTGTGTTGCACTCATCCTTTACCTCGGGTTCCAACTCTTCGTCTACGTCCCCAGGTCCTACCATATTGCGGAGGAGAACAACCTTGCTTGGTGATTTCATAATCTCTGTGATGCTGGGCTCGATAGCGCTGCTGCCAGTTAATGTTCCTGCCATCAGGTTATTTACTACAGCCTTGTGGCTGGGACTTTGTCTAGTTGGAGATCCAATCGCAGGTGGAGACATTGATGAGTTCGACTGAAAAACGTCTTTTTCGTGTATAATGCGGCCGCCCCGCTTGGAGGTCTTCTCCACCTGCAGGGCTATTGACATACCTTGCTCAGACTTTCCCAGGCCCTGACCATTCCTAAATCCGTATTTTGCCATAATTTTTGCGGCCACCGAGCTCGCAGAATACGGTATGGTAACGTGGGAGTATCCATCTCCACCATCAATGGATATTTCTTGGAGTGATGGAGGAGGAGCGATGGCGGCACCCCCTCCCTGTTTAGCAACAGAGAGAGGGCGTGGTGAACTGTAACTGTTATCATCGTTTTGTCGTTGGCCGCTAAACTTTATATATTGCGGTGAGACGTCTTCTCTATGGATTTCACGGCGGCCGACGCGCCCGCGTTTCCGCTCCTTGTCTCTGTCGCTATCTTCTCGACTGCTTGCACATCCATGGCCACCAATGCTAGCTCGGGACTTCTCTCCACCTTTAGACTTATTTTTAAGTTTTTCGTATTCATTTGGCCACTGCGGGTCGTACTCATCCGAAAAGTCCCAGTCGTCCTTAAGAACGCTTTCTGGCATGGGCGGTAGGGCCTTTCCCGTAATTATGGGCTTGGCCATCACCGCAGCCATTGAATCACAAGATGGCACCTCTGTCTCCGAAGGGCGCTTGGATCTTAGGTTGACTACCGGCGTCATGAGCTGCAGTAAATAAATTTATGATAGAGTCTCTATGATATTCGCTGGAACCACTCACAGGTTTTTTGACGGCCTTCTTAACCGCCAACTGGGTTTGCAACATTTTTATGCCGGACGACCAGCCATCAATATGGCTGGCTCGTGGCTTCGCGTCAATATCGTCGTAAAGATCCATTTATACAAATTTTAGAAAATGTCACCCCTTCTGTAATCGAGCGTGACGGCGGTGAAATCGATAATTTTGTATACCATCCAGTAGAGGTGGAAGAAATTTTTAAGAAACATCGATGTTTTTTGGAGATAATCGATGTTTTTGTCACATCACCAATTTAGATGTCGAACATTTTTACTATATCGTATCAATGATATTCGGTTTTAAAAAATTATCAAAATGATATTTATTATATCACTTTGAAATATCGATATGTCAATATAATTGACATTTTTCCCTTTCCCAAAGAAAAAGAGTAAACATATTATATATGATTTTCGACTTTTTTTTAAGAATTATACATACATATATGAAATGTATGTTTTGTAAAAGTAATATAAATTCCGTGATTTTTGTGTCAATATATGGCTTTAAGGCCAAGTACTCAGATCGGCTTAGAGTTTCACTAGTTGAAAAATCTTATACTTTGTAGTGTGACCGCAGTTTTCAAACAAATCAATTGGAGCAGTTAAAAAAAAAGAGTCTGCTGGTGCACAAAGAAAAAGAAAAGCGGACGACCTTATTTTCTCCTCCCTATAAAAGACGGCGCGTCCTCCATCAGGTGGAGGAGCCATTACCAGCCATTGCCAAGATAATGGTCGACTTTCTGCAGCATCAGGCGAATCAACCCCGTTCTCTATTTGGCTCCCACTTCCTCAAGGTCCAATATGCCTATTGGGATTCGGAGCGGGCCTACAGATGGCGCGAACAGAACAAAGATTAAAGCTACTTATTTACATACATAACTAAAAACATTTGTTGAACGTTCCTTTTTTTGTATTTAAATTTCTTTGTGCACCAGAACTCTTCTTTTTATACCCGGTACTCGTACAGTATAAGGGTATACTAGATTCGTCGGAAAATATGTAACAGGCAGAAGAAAGCGTTTCCGACCGCATAGAGTAAATATATTCTTGCTAAGGATCACTAGCCGAGTCGATCTAGCCATGTTAGCCACTTTAACGCCCAAAAACCGCAAAAAAGCGTAAATATGAACGTGGATATCTCTGAAACTATCAAAGATAGAGCATTGGGATCTCAGATTTAGATTCAGTAGCCTTGCACGCAGCGCGAGTTTGTTACGCGAATATGCCACGCCCATTCTAACGCCCACAAACCGCCCAAGCCTGTGGCGCCCACAATTTTCATGCTAGATACAAAATTTTTACTGACATGTATTAGTCTCGTCAATATCTATCGATTGATTTAAAAAAAAAATTGACACGCCCACTCTAAATGGTTAAATCTGTCTACCGCCGGTAGGTGGCGCTATTCAACCTCGCTTTGCTGCTTGAATATCTCCATTTCCCTTTGGTTCCTTTAGCTGAGTAACGGGTATCTGATAGTCGAGGAACTCGACTATAGCGTTCTTTCTTATTTAAATAGATCCAGCTGCTTGGCAATAAGACCATGCCTCATGCAACGCGGGTGAACTTTGAAAACTTCGGTCACACTACAAAGAATACGATTTTTCGACTACTGAAACTCTTAGCCGATCTGAGTACTAGGCTCAAAAACGAAGACGCAGAGCTACGCAGCGGTACTACGCGGGACTAATCCATAGAGGTGCAGAAACATCGATGAAAACATCGATGTTTTTTTGGACCATCGATGTTTCTAGGGCCCTCACTGTTCAAAGAAGAAGAAGGACAAAAGCACGCTAAAGGTTTATAATATGTTAATTTTTTCCCTTTTTTCTTAATAATAATGTTTAATTAATTTTTATGTATTCCAGCCACGTCATGCGAGTCAGAAAGAGCCTTTAGCAAGGCGGGCCAAATCATTTCAGATCGCCGTACCCGGTTGAAGTCCGGTATCGTTGACCAACTTATGTTTGTTAACAAGAATTATCATAGCTTTCCAAAGAAATCCCTTTAGAAACTAAGATGATCTCAATAGACTGAACTTTTGTTTTTGTTTTTTTTTTAGTTTAGTTTTAATACAAATTCCAACAATATTTTTTAAATTATATTTTATGTTACAATTATGGAATCATCATCATCGATGTTTTTTGAAAAACATCGACGTTTCTGCACCTCTACTAACCCACCGATCTTTATTTTGCATGCGAGCCACTACAATAATGGAAGGTAAATTTTGATTAGGTTATTTTCACAAATTTAAGAGTAGTTGTTTTTGGTTTAGACGACTGCAGATATCTACGAACCGCTTAAACAGGCTGCCTGTAAATGCCTGTGAGTCCGAGAGGTGCTTTAGTAAAGCTAAAGAGATACTGTCTGATCGCCGCACAAAACTTAAACCACATGTCGTAGATATGTTAACGTTCATTAACATAAATGAAAATATACATTCGTAACTAAGCTTTATATAATACTGTTATGTGAATGTGATCTCTTAGAATACTGATGATTTTTTTAAAATTTGTTTGCTGAATAAAGCCATTGTTTTTTGATTTTATGTAAACCGTAAAAGTCTTTAAGTTGCGTTATATTGGTTTACTAATTTATTTAAAAGCAAAAAAATATATTATATTTTGGAAACATCGATGTTTAGTCGGTTCGAACATCGATGTTTCTCCACATCCACATCATTACATATACTGTCGAATTGTTGATTCATTGAGTTTCAATCAGTTGGATGAATTAGGCCCATTCATTCATATTATACTATCAGAAAAAATCTGCATTTCTCAGTCTTTCGGCTGAGTCACTAAAAACCGATCATCACTGGATTTTATGAGTTAAGCGTCTTGTTTTTGTTCACAATTCGCCGTCGTCCACGATTTGTCTCTGTTGTCCTTTTGCAGTTAAGCCTAGTACTCAGATCGGCTAAGAGTTTCACTAGTCGAAAAATCGTATTCTTTGTAGTCTGACCGAAGTTTTCAAAGTTCACCCGCAATGCATATAGCATAGTCTTACTGTCAAGTTTGTTGCCAAACGGAAAACAAATCAATTGGAGAAATTTAAAAAGGAGGAGTCTGCTGGTACACAAAGAAATTTAAATAAAAATAAATGGAGTGTTCAACGAATGTTTTCATTTATGTAAATTAGTAGTTAAAAGCTTCATTCTCGTCCCATGGATGCTTCGCCATCTTTCCCGCTCCACCGCAGTACAGCTCCGAGTCCCAATAGGCATATTGGACCTTGAGGAAGTGGGATAACGGGGTTGATCCGCTGATGCTGCAGGAAGTCGCCCAGCACCCTGGCAGTGGCTGGCTATGGCTTCTCCAACTGTTCCTTAGCGGGCGCCCCATTTTTCTCCTCCTCCCGCCTGAGGGTCCACCAGCTCCGACAAAGATTGAATTTCTTATTCATTGGGCCGCGGCCGTTAGGCGCCAGATGAAAAAGGACGCCTAATCCAAGCTGTTGCCATTATTGTGGGACGTGACCGACATTGCCACAACGGGGCAGAATAGTTGAAGTGCTGGAGGAGATCCACTAGAGAATCCCAGTGGGAAGGAACATGGGCCTTCGCTCGATGTCCGACGAGGTCTCCATTGAGGACTCCACCTCCACCACCTACTTAACAGCTAAAGCGGCGATGGAGGACGCGCCGCCTTCTATAGGGAGGAGAAAATAAGGTCGCCCGCTAAGGTACAGCTGGAGGAGCCATCACCAGCCATTATTGGCCAGCCTATTGGGACTCGGAGCTGGACTACAGATGGCGCGGGAAAGATGGCGAAGCATCCGTCGGACGAGAAGGAAGCCTTGAACTTCTAATTTACATAAATAAAAACATTCGTTTAACCTTTCATTTATTTTTATTTTAATTTCATTGCCACATTCATTGCGGGTGAACTTTAAAAACTTCGGTCACACTAAAAATAATAAGATTTTTCGACTAGTGAAACTCTTAGCCGATCTGAGTACTAGGCTTGAAGCGCAGTACTCACGTCGACGAAAACCGCGAGCTAACGCTTTTCGCCGGGCCTGTTTTTTAGCGCGGTACTAGGATGAGCTAAGGAAATACTAGAAAAAATACCAGATTTAGCGAGTAAATTTCGATGAACGCCGTTAATTTAATCTTTGGCGGTGTTCGTGCAAAAACGCTACTAAAACTTAAAATGAAAAATGTAAGGAAATCCCAAAAACGACTGCAGGAGGTCAGTGCAGATGAAAAAGGACGCTCATTCCAAGCTGTTGCATTTTATTGTGGGACTTCACCGACAGGAAGCAATACCACAAAATGGCAAATCTGCGGAATAGTTGAAGTGCTGGAGGAGATCCACTGGAGAATTTTAGTAGGAAGGAACATGCCGAGTGGGATTTCGCTCTCCACGTGGACGTCCTGCCGGCCGTGTCCTTGCAAGGAAAGTAAGTTCTGGCCAAAAGAATTTGCCTACGTTGTACCAATAGAAGTATCTTTTTAACAGAACCACCAGTAATATGACCTCCGACGACTTCTCCATTAGGACTCCGTACACCACCACAACCATCTACTTGGCAGCTTAAGCGGAGCTGGCTTCTATAGGGAGGAGGAAAATAGAACGCCCGTTAAAGAACAGCACCAGCGGATCAACCCCGCTCCCAATCCGGCTCCCACTTCCTCAAGGTCCAATATGGCTACTGGGACTCGAAGCTGTACTGCGGTGGCGCGAGAAAGATGGCGAAGCACCCACGGGACGAGAAGGAAGCTCTACTACTAATTTACATAAGTAAAAACATTCGTTAAACATTCCATATATTCTTATTTTAATTTCTTGTGACAACAAACCCAGCTGCTTGTCAGTACATGCATTGCGGGTGAACTTTGAAAACTTCGATCACACTACAAAGAATACAATTTTTCGCCTAGTGAAGCTCTAAGCCGATCTCAGTACTAGGCTTAAGCATGGTCTTACTGTCAAGCAGCTGGGTTTGTTTACAAACGAAAAACCGTGGTCGGATTTGAGTTGAGTTTTTCCTATATCAACAGAGGCCTTAATATCTCCAAATGAAGTTGTAGCTGACAATATACTCAATGTAGCTTATTAATTTTTTGGGAAAATTCAAAGGCCACAATATAGTTATATACTAAAAAATATAAGACCTAAATTGGTTAATAGAAACTGTATAGGTTAGGTTAGGTTAGGTTAGAGCGGCTGCCAAATCATTGACACACTTAGTCCTTAAAAGGTCCATTGTGGTACCGCGTGGATCTGTATCCCCTTTCCTAAAAATCTGCTGCCTTTATTGCAGCTGGCTTAGCATAATTCCCATCCGGTTGCTTTAATGAGTTTTATTATTCGTTTTAGGCTTATGTTCGCCAGTTCAGATAGACTGCTCATGAAGGGATCCCCTAAGTGGTACAGTCTAGATCTGCTCAGGGCCGGGCAGGAACAGAACAGGTGTTCCACCGTTTCCTCTTCCTCCTCATCCCTGCAGCTTCTGCAGAAATCATTTCGGGGCGCGCCCAATCTGCTTGCGTGTGTGCCAACCAACCAGTGGCCTGTTAACACTCGTATTACCATTCCGCACTCGGTACGGTTTAGTCTTAATAGTTCCGAAGTTCTCTTCGCGTCAATGATTGGCCATGTCTGGCGAGAGATGCGACAGTGCTTAACATGTGTCCATGCTAGGCTCGCAAGTTTCTTATATTGGATTTAATGTTAAGAAACTGTATATATAACTATAGTTACGGAGATATCAAATATGTTTTCTTAAAAAAATCTTAAAAATCGTATTCTTTTGAAATTGTTTTGGTTTATTTCATCATTATCTATCATCCTTCTCGGGGCAGTTTCAAAAGTATTATTTTTAAATCCCAATTGGATTGACCAACGATCGATTTATAGAAGCCGTCTTCTTCTAGTACTACCAATGCTGTGCTAAAACCCTATTTAACCGAGAGTGGAGTTATGGGGTTATGGCTTAACCCAGCTGTTTTAAACATAAGTATTGCATAGGCAACTAGAGGTGGGCAAATGTAGGGTCTTGGTTGGGTCCTTGGTATTTGATTGTTATGGTTTCGTATACTTAGTATTTCTTTGCCTATCGTCGGATATTCATCACTATAGAATCTGACAATACTTACTCGAGTAGAAATGAAATTTTTTCAGCACGACTCATTATTACTTACACGAAACATCGATGTTTTAAAATTTTTTAGAAACATTGATGTTTTTTGGAGACAATAGATGTTTTTGTCACATTACCAATTTAGATGTCGAATATTTTTCCTATATCGTATCAATGATATTCTCTGTTTTAAAAAAATATCAAAATGATATCGCTTTGAAATATCGATATATCAATATAATTGATATTTTCCCTTTCCCAAAGAAAAATAGTACCGTGCCCGATAGTAAAAGGAAATAGACTTTTTAAATGAATCATAACAATATATTCATAAGATTCCACAATCATATAGCAAACATAAATATAAGATTCAAATATTTTTTAAGGGTTATACATATTAAATATGATATTCGAGTTTTTTTTTTAAGAACTATACATACAAATATGAAAGTAATATAAATTCAGTGATTTTAGTGCCAATATTTGGCTTTAACAGATAATACGGCTGCGGGTATCACAAATTACGCATTTTATAGCGGATGCAAGTCGCTCTGAAGGCACTGAACTCCCAGGTGTTATGAGATACCTCAAAACGAGCTTAGACAGTCCCTGCACAGCCGCCTTATGGAAATTCCAAAATATTATTGGATTACTTTCCCATGATGAAAGCTAAGGTACAACTTTAGCTCACGGTGTTCAGAGTCACTCATTAAAAGGCCTTTTAAAAGGGAAGTCGTCAGACAGGTCAACTGCGTTTTCATTTTTTTTAATATAATCAATTAAAATTACTGTGAATTGTTATTAAAGTTAATACATAATTAAAATCTCTAAAATTGGACATACCGATTTTTCTTCAGAAAATGTAGTCAGTTCTTTTAATATACCACTAGTCTCCTCTTGTACCCCGATTGGTGAGATGTACATCTTTTTAAATCTGGGATCAAGAAAGGACGATTTCACTAATATTTGAATGGATTCAAGTGGCTTTAATCTTTTTTCTAAGCGACTTTTTATTAAGAATCCCCTTATCAGATTCCACTTTAACAGTCTGTGTTCTTATGTTACTTATAGTGACATAATTTGCACCGCTAATTTGCATTTTGAATGGGCGCAAAAAGTTACAAGAGTCACGGCAAGTGGTTTGCTCTGTAGTCGATAGCATTTCAGGTATTCCTTTGGAATATTCGGATCTTTTTAATAGAATGATTGTCACTCACAAATATCGTAAAGCATCCAAAAACCATATTGCATATTCAATATTTCGGAAAACCAAAATCACGATATAAATATATCATAAAAAAAAAAAATATACCGATATATTGATATTTTGATATATTATTGTGAGGAGTTGAATAACTCCCCACAAATAGAAGCAGCAGCAGATGGCCGGCCGCTTACCAGTTACGCGGCGAATTCGCGTAGTAACGGCGCGGCGAGGAGAGTTTGGAGACAAGGACGGAGAGCGAGAGAGTTTGGAGACCAAGCATGGAGAACGAGAGAGAATGGAAACTTCGCGGGCAAGGCAAGAGTGCCGTGTGCAGAAACGGGATAACGGAACTCCACTGGACTTTGGACTCTCCCGTGAACTTTGGACCGGGAGAGGAAGTGCCACATCTCGGCAGTGGAGCGGCACACAGGCGTGCCGCAAGCATCACGGGAATCAGCGGGAATGCAGCAGTTGGCGGAGCATCGATGGAAAGCGGTACGTGAAGGACAAGTGGGTCAACCAGGAGCCACGGACTTTGGACCCAGAGTGGAGAGATCCAGCGGGCCGTGCGCAAAAGGGAAACAACGGTTCCCGGAGGCCCTATATAAGGCCGCAGAGCGCTGGCAGCTGGATCAGTCGATTACGAGGAGTCAAACCTTCAAGATCAGTTAAAGTAGCAAATAAACAGTCAGTCAAGCAAATAATCTACGAGGGAGCTACAACCAAGCGAGTCGTCGGAAGCAGCGCCGTGGGAAGCATACAAGGAGCAAGATCGCCACGTCGAGACGTTCGGGATTAGGACATCAGGAATCTCCGAATTGAGACACAGGTGGCTGAGTTCTGGAAGGCATCACGCGGCTAAGTCAAGGCGTTTGTTTTCTAACTTTGTCAAGACCACACCCTGGCGAGTCGCCCGGGTCTGTCAGAGACAAGCAAAAGAGTCCTACGACGAAGAGCCGTCAGCTTGTGGAGGAAAGTTGTCTGCGACCCAGCGTACCTTGCCCGACCAAGCAGGACCTGGTAGATCGATTTGCGGTTTCAAGAGGCGGCAGCCTGGAGAGCCCTGCGATTACCGGCGAAGTTCCCGAGCAGCGACCGCCCAGCTCCCCGAGCGCCAGAACAACGAGATACTGGTCAGAAGACAGCGCAGAGGACATCGACAGCGACGCCAGCAGACATTTCCGGCAGCCACGTTACCATCGCCGCGCGGAGCTCATTGGGGAGCACAGGAGCGTCGCGGACGTCACGCATTAGGGTGAAGCCGGGTGGAACGTTCGTCTGCGCTAGGCGTAAAGCGAAGTGAACCGCTAGACAGCCTCCTGGCGGCAGCCTTGACTGTCAGCGCGAACTGAGCAAGAACCTAGCGGGACCGTCCGGGACAGAGCAAGGGACAGGTATTGCCTCGAAAGGCGTCGGCCTGGAGAGCAAGGCTTGTTCACCCTAGTCTGAGAACGGTGACGCTTCCCTAAGTCCACAAGGCCGAACTCTCTGCGGGTCTAAGGCGCAACAAGCGACCCCGAGGCAACACGTCGGCAAGCAAGCAGAGGCGGCCACTACGAGCGTCCCGAGACCCAGGATCCAGAGGAGGACGAGTCAACGCGTCGAGGAGCCAGAAAGAGGAGTGCCAGCTGCCGGCGAAACCAGAGCCAAGAGATACCGAAGCCAGCCCAGCCACACACCCGCTGTACTAATACCACGAGAATAAATCCCACTGTTACCATTTGAACCCTTTGTTTTCTCACTGATCTACGGGCAATCACGTCATATAAATTTGGTGGGACGAACGCACAATCTTCTGAGCTAGCCGCACGAATCTCGTAGCGAGCAGACGCACAAAATCAGTTCGTTACATTATAAACAACCCTTTGCGGAATGAAGGAGCTTTGTTTGTTCCTGCTTCCTTTTGACCAGGCGACGAAAACTATTTCGGGCGGAAAGTATCCTACCATTTATTTGGTGATACCATTGATTTGCGAGATGCTACCTGACCAAAAAATTGAACTCGTTCCATTGAAGCTAGAATTGCTTTTGAAACTTCAAACGCCAGGAAGGTGCACGGTGCCCCGCCGATGGAGACTACACCACCAGTTGAGTCCTTCCAAGGGCTTCATTCGTTGATTCTAAATTAAAGCCTAGTACACGCGGATTTTCCGCGCGGTACAACAGGGCAAATCCGCAGAATAGTTAAAGTGGTGGAGGATATCCACTAGGGAGTCCCAGTGCGAAGGAACATGGGACTTCACTCGACCTCTCCATGAAGGACTCCAGCTACTTTACAGCTAAAGCGGAGATGAAGGACGCGCCGGCTACTATAGGGAGTAGAAAATAAGGTCGCCCGCTAAGGGACAGCTGGAGGAGCCATCACCAGCCATTATTGGCCAGCCTATTGGGACTCGGAGCTGGACTACAGATGGCGCGGGAAAGATGGCGAAGCATCCGTCGGACGAGAAGGAAGCCTTGAACTTCTAATTTACATAAATAAAAACATTCGTTGAACCTTTCATTTATATTTATTTTAATTTCATTGTGCACCAGAGACTCTTCCTTTTTTTAAATTGCTCCAATTGATTTGTTTTTTGTTAGGCAACAAGCCCTGCTGCTTGACGGAAAGACCATGCCACATTCATTGCGGGTGAACTTTAAAAACTTCGGTCACACTAAAAATAATAAGATTTTTCGACTAATGAAACTCTTAGCCGATCTGAGTACTAGGCTTGAAGCGTAGTACTCACGTCGACGAAAACCGCGAGCTAACGCTTTTCGCCGGGCCTGTTTTTTAGCGCGGTACTAGGATGAGCTAAGGAAATACTAGAAAAAATACCAGATTTAGCGAGTAAATTTCGATGAACGCCGTTAACCGCGGCCCAAAGAATAAGAAATTTAATCTTTGGCGGTGTTCGTGCAAAAACGGTACTAAAACTTAAAATGAAAAATGTAAGGAAATCCCAAAAACGACTGCAGGAGGTCAGTGCAGATGAAAAAGGACGCTCATTCCAAGCTGTTGCATTTTATTGTGGGACTTCACCGACAGGAAGCAATACCACAAAATGGCAAATCTGCGGAATAGTTGAAGTGCTGGAGGAGATCCACTGGAGAATTTCAGTAGGAAGGAACATGCCGAGTGGGATTTCGCTCTCCACGTGGACGTCCTGCCGGCCGTGTCCTTGCAAGGAAAGTAAGTTCTGGCCAAAAGAATTTGCCTACGTTGTACCAATAGAAGTATCTTTTTAACAGAACCACCAGTAATATGACCTCCGACGACTTCTCCATTAGGACTCCGTACACCACCACAACCAGCTACTTGGCAGCTTAAGCGGAGCTGGAGGACCCGCTGGCTTCTATAGGGAGGAGGAAAATAGAACGCCCGTTAAAGAACAGCACCAGCGGATCAACCCCGCTCCCAATCCGGCTCCCACTTCCTCAAGGTCCAATATGCCTACTGGGACTCGGAGCTGTACTGCGGTGGCGCGAGAAAGATGGCTGTTGGGGCGGTGCGGCTTGATCGATGAAATAATTGAGCCCCAAGATCGAGTGGTACGCATAAAAATACGCGGGTACTTTTGGTTTTTTACGCGACGTGCGTAGGTGATTATTAGTACACTTTGAAACATGAACTGCTTAAGCCTAACTTAACTTAAGCGCTCCAGAGCAGAGCGGAGACTTAGGGGAGAGATGGAGAGGGAGAGCGGACGGCAGTGCGAGCGCGCGAGGTATAGAAATCTGGATAAAACTGCCGCTCGACACTGCCTCCTGAAATTAAACGCCCTTTTCGCGTGAACATTCTCCCCTGGATATGTACTTCCAGAAGCCGATTCTGGGGGCTTAGCCGTAGAAAGTGGTGGCACTTCCGTAGAGGATGGATCTTTTGGCAGACTCGGCATTGGTAGGATTTAATACCTCGAGTACGTCTGCCATCCAAGGCGGGGTATGGAACTCAATATTCGGATGGAGTATTCTTAGGAGGAACTTTTTGTACGGAAACTTGCGTTGAATAGGACGAAATGATGTGTGGAACTGAGGCGGATAGTGGCCTTGGAGGGTCGGGTGGAATCGTCGGAGTAGTAGGACCACTGTTTCGATGCAGCAATGTGTGATGCCGATCTTGGCAAGTGAGATAGTTGTGAGCGCTTGTGCAATCCCGGAATTGATGGCTACTTGCAAAGCAATTGGAGCACAACTGCTTCCTTTGGATATAGGCTAAGCGATCTTCTACCGTCATCTGTAGGAAGCGTGGACATATACGCACGGGGTGGTTCTTCTTCGAACACAGATCGCAGCCTTTGGTTATCGGAACTAACCTTGTGTTGAAGGAATTTATTTGTGGAAATTCTGCCTCTCGATATGTGTCTTT